GCGAACAGCCATCCTGGGAGTACTATGAGGTATGGGTATGGTGGGCACAGCGAACAGCCATCCTGGGAGTACTATGAGGTATGGGTATGGTGGGCACAGCGAACAGCCATCCTGGGAGTACTATGAGGTATGGGTATGGTGGCACAGCGAACAGCCTCTGCCATTTGGAAGACACAGGACCAGCGGGGCTTTTGTTCCTTGCAGTAGAGTTACTGACAGAAATTATTAATCATAATTATAACTAGAATCACTTCTGTAATTTTATAGTTTGCATCCATCTGTGTTCTGCAGTCAGTGCTAAGGCTGATGCCTGTGCCATTCAGCACAGACATGAGGCAGGGGAGACCCTGGGCAGGCAGATCCAGGGCAAAGACACACACAGGCACACATAATCACACATGATTTTTAGAGGCAGGAAATCCCTAAATGAGAAACAGTAATAAATAACTCTGTTTTCCCTGTCCTGTCTTGTCTCTGGCCTGTGGCTCTGTTCCCTCTATAGATGATGGACGCCATGCTTGGCGACACGATTGGTGCTCAGGTCGGTGGGAGCACGTCAGCAACCCTGCTGGACGTGGGCAAGGAAACAGCTTCCGCCAACCTGGGCGACATCACCAAGCAAGGCCTGCTGTCCCCCTGCAGCCTTGCCCCCTCCTGTGCCCAGATTCCCACCCTCGTCTCTGCTTCCCCGCTCCCACCCGTCAACCCGGACCTGTCTCCCTTGCTTCCTGGTCCCCCCCGCAGCACAGGCCGGCCCCGCGCACGGCAGAAGCTGCGGCGCGATTCAGGCTGCACGCCGACGCCCATCTCCTTCCCAGCCCGTCGACAGGACCAGGCCGAGGAGTGTGCCTCCCTGCTGCGCAGCCTAGCCAGCAACCAGGAGGAGCGTAGTCGGCAGGAGGAGGTGCGGCTGCGCCGGGGAGAAGCCCGCGAGAAGCGTCGCGAGAGGAGGGAGAACAAGATGCTGGAGGCCCTGGGGAGGATGGCCACTGCCCTGGAGCTACTGTCTGCCAAGCAGGACACCATTATCGCCTTACTGCAGAGGCTGGCAGACAGGCAGTGAGGCAGCAGGGCCCGCGGACAGCTGTGGGAGCCGAGTCTGCTGAGGGTGGGGGGACCAGCCATCTTGACTGCACCTGTGTGGCTCAACTGGATGATGTTGATTACACTCCTGCTTGTTGTTAAGGGCCTTGTCTCATTTCCTGCCTTAGGTTTCATTCTGAGGAGGGAAAAATCGAAATATGTCATTCTGTTGCACGGTATGTAAACGGAAGCTGACTGCAAACCTCATTCACCACAGACTTCTGCCCCTATTGTCTGCATTTTGTTGCTGATGGTAAATGACCATTAACTTTTTTAGCTGAATGGTTATGTAGTTATCAGATTGTTTTGTTTTTGTTCAGTTGAATTATCTGGGTGTTTATTTTCAATCTTGAATTAAATGCTGTCAGTGTTTTGCTTTTGTCTGCCATGTTGTTTGCAAAATGCATATGTACTTATGCTCTCTCCTTGAAGACCGGGTTGAGAAACACTGGAATAGGAGACCATCACCAAATTCCATAAATCCAACCATTTTCTAACCAGCAGAGGTGCATACTTCAGGTCCAGAAAGTAAAAATCCAGAACAAGATTTTATTTCAACCAACCAGTCGAGTACTTTGTTACTATGACTCTTTATACTCAATTGGTTGGTTGAAACAAAATCTTGGTTTGCACACTTGAACTACCCGTCTCTGCCAGTCACTTATGCAGTGCAGGGCTGCAGTGAGGTCAAATCCTACCAGAGAAAACGCAGAGCACAAGGCAGGTGGCACACTGGAGATCGCATGCCATTGCAGGGCATACACCAACATACTGAGGGAAATTTAGAATGGCTGCAATCCAACCTCCACCTCTAAGCATTTTAATAGAATGTCACGGTCAATTCTGTAACACGAAGATCAAGCTGTACAAAAACCAGAATCGGCAGTGAAAAAATGTCGTTCAGTACCTTCAGCGGGGCAGATACTATACAGAGCTCTAAAGCCAGACTGGAATTTATAAATGATTTTAGACTTATACAAGTAAGAGGTGATCTAGGAAAACACAACTTTTTCCAATATCTTGGAGATAAATGGTAGCTTGGAGATGGGCCTGTAGTTTTTATGGTAATTAGGGTCTAGGCTAGGTTTTGTCAATAAAGGTTGCATGATTGCATGTTTAAAACTGGAAGGGACAACTCCACTAGTTAATGAGTTATTAATTATGGCCAAAATAAGGGGGCAGATTGTAATGAATGTAACGAGATGGTATAATGTCTAAGGGGGATTAAGTGACATTCATTTGAGAGACCACCTCAGAGAGCTGGGCAGATGACACTGGCTGAAATTGCTGGAGGTAACTGATTGGATGACGTGCTTCTGGGGGATCTGTGTCTGGAGGTGAGATGGTGCATCTTCTGTTGTTAACTTTGTCAATAAAGAACTTCAAAAACTTCTCAGATTTCAGTAGCAGAAGCTATGGTAGGCATTTTTATTGATTAGTTCAGTGTGATAGTGAGCCTTAACAGAGCTTTGGTAGAGCTTTAAACAATCTCTAAAAGTTTCATATGAGACCTGAAGTTTATCTTTTTTCCACTTATGCTCTGCCCTTCTGTAATCGTGTCTAAGAGCACGGGTGTGGTCATTCAGCGGGAGTGCCAACATTCTTTACCTTGGATATTTTTAGTTTTAAAAGAGCTACAGAATCCAGAGTGTATGTGGTGAGTGAGTGAGCATAAATTTATTAGTAAAATGAGTGGCTGTGGTAGAGTTTATAGATAGGAGAGGGACATGTGCATGGGGCTGGCAGGAGGTGGTATGGGGACGAGACAATGAAAATTCAGACACAACCATAAAATGATCAGAAATGCCAGCATGAACAACTTTCAGTTTGGAGACAGAGAAACCAGACCATATCTAATGTAAGCCCCTTCTGATGTGTTGGAACCAATACTGATTGGATAAGATTAAAAGAATCCACAAAGCACAAA